CCCCGTCCCAGGAGCAGCTACAGCTCTGCACCCTCATGTTGGGCAGGCTGACCACCTGGGGCCTGGGCCTGCCTCCCTCCTTGACATGGACGATCATGGGCAGCGAGGCCGTTTCCGAGGCGATGCACTGCCGAGGCCCCAGAAGCGGCCACTTGAAGGGCAGGGGCTGCCGGGGCTGCCGGCAGGCGCCCACACACTCGTAGGCCAGGAAGCCCGGGGGCTCCAGGACCCAGTTCTCAGCCCACTTCATCCCCTGCAGGTCGATGTACATCTCCCTGCGGCAGCAGCGGGGGGCCTCCGCCCCGGGCGCCTCCGGGTCACAATCGCCCTGAGCTCTGCGGGGGCAAAGAGAGGCACAGGTCAGCGGGGAGGGCGGGGAGGGGGGCAGGGAGGTCCTGGGGGGCATCTGGGAGGAGCTTTGCCACCCAGCGCTCCTTACGTTCAAAAGGATAAGGACCGGTCAACAACCAAACGGTACATCGCGTGAGCCCTTAGTCCTGAGACTGAAGGGGACTCTCCTGCGGGCAATCACTCCCATGGCACCCGGAAAAGTCCCACTCGGACTGAGCTGGCCTTGGGAGTGGGGTCCCCCCGTGCGGCCCCGGGCGCCTACCCGTAGGCCCCCAGGTCCAGCGTGTGCAGCTCCAGCTGGGGCTCGCCCTGCCCGGCGCCCGTGGGCCCCTGGGAGGCGAAGCGCACCAGCTTGTGGGCGCCCGCGGCCGGCGGGCCCAGATGCTCGGTCTGCACCGTCACCTGCAGGAGCAGGGGCTGCCGAGGCCGGCTCAGCTGCTGCCAGAAGGTCACGGCCTCGGTCACGTCGAAGGCCTTCCAGCCGCTGTCGTGGAGGGACACCAGCCTGCGACGGGGTGGCGCGGGGACGGGGGCCTGAGCTGGGGGCTGCGGGTTCCCCCTGGGGGAGCCTTCCCCTCCCCCTCCCCCCGCGCTGGCACCCCCGCCCACTCCCCCCACTCTAGGACACCTACTTCCCCGCCCCCCAGCCCTCTCACTGGGACCCCCACCTCCCTCCCCCCCCAGCTAGGAACCCCGTCCCCTCCCCTCCCCTCCCCATCCCTCCTCCCTGGCACCCTCCCCACTTGCAGCGCCCACCTGGAGTCCACCAGGTAGGTGCGGTTGGAGCTGTCCTCACGGATGTACAGCCACTTGGTGGTGACGCGGGTGCAGGCGCTGTGCGGGGACAGCCAGTTCCTGTCCAGGGCACCGCCTCCTGGAAGAGGCGCAGCACGGCCCGCACCAGCTCGCTGTTGGGGGGCAGCCGCTGCTCCATGCTGAACACCAGCAGGTAAGGCCTCCGACGCCAGCCACCTGCCCACCACCTCTGGGGACAGAAGCAGGGTCAGGAGGCCTGTACAGCACCAGGGCGGCTGCGAGGGGGCTGGGCCCCCAGCCAGTGAACAGCATTTCCCCAGGAGTCCCCAGGGAGATGCGCAGGGAGAATGTGGGGGCTGGGGCTGCCCCTCAAGTGCACAGACATGAAGCCTTCTTTTCTGTTTGTTTGAACATTTTACTTCTAAGTAACCTCTACCTAGGCCCAGCGGGGGCTCAAACTCACAACCCCAAGATCAAGAGTCACATGCTCCACCTGCTGAGCCAGCCAGGCCCAGAGACCTGTAGCCTTCTTTGGGCAAAGGGCACCACAAAACGGGGCGGGGGGGCACTGGAGCGAGGGCAGAGAGCCCTGCCATGGAGACCTCTGGTCGCCAGCCCAGTGTCCTAAGAAGCAGAGCAAGAGCCCTGAATTCCTCCCATCTCCCTCCCATGCCCAGGGAGATGTCCCTAAGAGGAGTCCGGGGCCTGCGAGCAGCTTTAGCGGGGCTACCGAGTCCGGGGGCCAACGGCGGGACGTGTTCCACACCCTCCCCACACTCCCCGTGTCCCTAACCCCTGAGCTCCAGGTTGGCACCCCGACAAGGAGCGGGGCGCAGCCGCAGGGAGGCCTCACCTCGGAATTTCTGGCTGAACCTCTTCCCTCGAGAGCGTGCGCTGTGGCTGCGCTGCAACAGGGCCACGTATTGGGCCGTCACATGGGCAGGGGTGACCAGCCCCTCAGCGTCGCCCTCGTCCAGGACGGGCACCTGGCTGAGGTGCAGCTGCTGCAGCAGGCTGCCCCGGATCTGCTCCCCGCTCAGGGCGGCCCCGGGGCCGGGGAGGGGCAGCGCCCAGAGCGCCCAGCACAGCCACA